GTAAGTGGGACGGAGAGAGTATTATTAAAAAATATATATTAATATATTATTATTTTTATATATTTTAAAAATATTAAAAATTGATTATTTGTTATATTATAAAATAATTGTAAAAAATATTTTTGTTAAATTATAAATATATATATCAAATAAATTTAACCAAAAAGTGAAAATAATAATAAATATGACCTAAAATATGATTATATTGAAAATATGGTCGTGAACATGGCCTAGAACATGGTTGTGTTTAGAACAGAAACATGGCCTAGAACATGGCTGTGTTGAGAACATGGACAGGAACACGGGCAGGAACACAGCCGTGTTCAGAACACGGGAAGGAACACGGCCGTGTTCAGAAGTGCAGGGTAATCAACACGACCGTGTTGAGACCAACACGGCCGTGTTGGCTGCCAGGGACGCCCAGTTACCTTCTGAGTCATTCAACATGGCCGTGTTGGCTGCCAGTCAACCATTTTAGGACTAAAATTGATAAATTTTCATTTGAGTTGGACTAAAATTGATAATCTTTTTTGAATGGGACCAAAATTGATAATTTTGATATTGAATTGAACAAAAAATAATTTTTACTCTAATAATAATAATAATAATAATAATAATAATAATAATAATAATAATAACAACACAAATACAAATTTGCCAATATAACTACAAAAGATGTAACTGTACGAAAGATAAGCTTGTGTCTTCTTTTGTCAGTGAAATTTTAAGGATAATCAATTTTAAAAAGCCAATAAAAAATGATTGAACTACAGAAGATAAAATAAAAATTGTATATATAAGCAAAGAAATTGAAGATAAATGATAGAACACACATAAATTTATCAACCAACACGAATGGCTCGGGGACAAATGAGCAGACTATAATTCAGCTGTAAAAATTTTTATATCGCGAAAAATATCAAATAATTATTTAAAAATAAAATTCGATATCAAAATAATTTATCGAAATAAATTCGATAATCTCAATAATATTATCGAAATAAATTCAATAATCAATTTATCGAAATAAATTCGATAATCAATAATAATTTATTGAAATAAATTCGATAATCACATCGAGTCGAGGTAGAACCCCTCTATGCAAAAACGAATAAGCTCCGTTCATGGCGCAATGTTCCCAGAGATAAAACGACGTTCGTCTCCAATTTAGGTGGCATCCCAGTATTTCGGAGGTCCCGTGAACTAAAATTAGGGAACTTGAACTATGTCGAGAGATTAAGGAATAGAGGATTATTTCCGGATATTAACCGGAAAGTTGCAGAAAAATATTATCGGAAAGGAGTAAGGAGAAGATGAGAACTTTTCTTGTTGGTGTCTCAAATGGATTGGTGGAGATGGCCTTTTATAGGCACCTCCACCTTGGGATTAAAATGCCAAGCCGAAACCATCGGCTTTTAATTCCGATAACATCCGGTCATAAATACCAAATTTAATTCCGATCATAAACATCAAATTTAATTCCAGTCATAAATCATTATTTGAATTTTTAAATTTCAAATAATAATTTATTATACATGCATGTTAATATAATTCTTGGATCCGGGCAGGTGATATACACATTGTGGCTTACCGGCATTTATATGTCTAACCACACTATTAATAATCACCGTACTATCCACATACATTTCAATCCACCGAATAATCGGTTCCGAAAATTATAAATTTATTTTAAAATTACATTTCATCAATTAATTAATTAACCAATTTTCTATCAATCTCCCACACGAGTGGAAATGCTCATTAATTAAGACAACACACTCGGGACAGGTAGTTTGTGGCTTTGAACATTCCTTAGTCAATATTATTGTATGTACCGATGACCTACTTGATACGATGCATTGAACTATTCCACATGTGTATACATTTTAGTCAATAATATTAGCATGCCGCTATCTCAACATCATTTTGTTCTCACATTTTGATCGTTTCGGCCATGGATCACATCTTTGGATTCAAAAGTGTTTCTTTTGAAGCGGCTCTCACTTCACACTTATATAGGTAATCTTATTTTAAAGTATCCAGCTTTACTTTTAGAATTATTAAGAGTCAGTGACTTAACTTCGTCATTTTGTACATTGTAACAATCGTAGCTTTTTAAGGAATGGTGATCAAGTGTTCGTGCCGAAATATTACAACTTAGTTTTCCCATTGAATCAAGGCTTGGGATCTCCAAATGATTTGGTTAGGTTACCACCGTAATTGTTTCTTAATTTTTGGATTTCAAATCCATTCCCTCTACATTTGATCACGATTTAACGTTTTGGTTAGCGGATCCGCAATGTTTTCTTTTAACCTATAGTCAATATTTATAACTCACTAGTGATCATTTATCTCATAGTATTGTGTCTGTATCGAATATATCGGGATTTACCATTGTAAATTTTGTTCTTAGTCTTTGCGTTTGCAGCTTGGCTACCACAATATATCATCACCAGCGTATTGGTTTTTTTCAAAATGGACCAAGCTATACAAGTTTGTTTCGTGGACTTCTAAGAAACTGCTCCACCTCCGGTCATAAAGACATATCCACTTGTAAAAGCAATTATTTTGTGTCAAATATCTCATTAGCGTTACAGTACTCTTCAAGTACTAAATGATATCTTGTGTAGTATATGCCAAAAGTCAAGAGTTTATTTTAAATACCTCAAGACATTTACTAGTTTTACACGATCTACCACTTTATCTGTGACTTACTTGAGATGTGGTACTTATATTTTAGCCAGGCACACCCCACACTACCAATATTTGTACGAAAGTTTCTTGCATTTTCACAATTTATAAGAAGTTTTATCCTTACTTTTAAATGGAATTTTATTCACAATATAATTTGTAGTTAGAACTACCCCACAATTTTTGGATAATTCTGAATAAATCAAAAAGACATTCATGCTTTCCTTAACACCATTCGATTATAATGAGTATAATGTCGTAGTCTGATTAATTATGCAACGTAATTCTTCATACAAAGCTACACATTTGTCTCCCCAGTCACTTCGAATTGCCTTAATATTACAACTCAGTTGATTTGCTGTCTTATTATTATTATTATTATTTTAAGGCATTATTGCTTCTCTTTTTCCTTTTAACAGGTAAACGTAATAATATCTCGTGCAATCATTGATAAAGGTGATAATATAATTTTTTTTCTTTCACCTAAAATTTTTTATATGGTGAGAATATCAAATCATTATCGAAAAATAAAGATATCAAAATAATTTATCAAAATAAAATCGATAATCAATATTAATTTATCAAAACAAATTTGATAATCATGACAATTTTATCGAAATAAATTCAATAATCTCAATAATTTTATCGAAACAATTTCGATAATCAATTTATCTAAATAAATTCGATAATCTCAATAATATTATCGAAATAAATTCGATAATCACTAATAATTTATTGAAATAAATTCGATAATCAATTTATCTAAATAAATTTGATAATCTCAATAATATTATCGAAATAAATTCGATAATCACTAATAATTTATTGAAATAAATTCGATAATCACGTCGAGTCGAGGTAGAACTTCTCTCCGTAAATACGAAGACGCTCCAGTAGTGCCTCCGGTTCGTGGCGCAATGTTCCAAAAGATAAAACGATGTTTGTTTCCAAATTAGGTGGTGTCCCAATATTTCGGAGGTCCGGCTAACTAAAATAAGTTATGTCAGGAGACTAAGAAATAGATGATTATTTCTGAAATATTAACCGGAAAGTCGCTGGAAAATATTACCGGAAAGGAGTAAGAAAAAGAAGAGAGAACTCTTCTTGTTGGTGTCTCAAATGGAGTGGTGGAGAGGGCCTTTTATAGACACCTCCACCTTGGAGTTTAAATGCTGAGCTGAAACCGTCGGTTTTAATTCTGGTAACGTCCGGTCATAAACACTAAATTTAATTCCGGTCATAAATTATTATTTGAATTTTTAAATTTCATATAATAATTTATTATATATGCATGTTAATATAATTCTTGGATCCAGGCAGGCGCGCGCCTATGGCTTACCGGCATTTATATGCCTAATCACACTATTAATAACCACCGTAATCCACATGCATTTCAATTCACCGAATAATAGGTTCTGAAAATATCCATCGATTAATTAATTAACTGATTTTCCAACAAATTCATCATCAAAGTGGTTGTGGACAAATAATAAGTTCATTCATGAATCAATTTACGTTCTCCTTTGTTCATTAATAAAAAGAATTGGTACTAAACAAGACTTTTCTATAGCACACATTTATGCGACTTTTCTATAGCACACATTTTTTTATTACTAATTATAATAAATAATGCTTTAAAAAAATAGAAACAAATAAAAATTCTATAATTAATGTTATCAATTTATTTAATTTACAAATTATCCTCTTATTAATATCAATGTATATATAAATTCAATATGACGTTGAATTCTACATCAAATCACCACGACTGCAATTCAAAAAGTAAAACAATAAATTAAGAGCAATCATAATAACAAATATCAAAAAAGGCTTCCTTAGCTTAATTATACAAGCACATCACTTTATTCTTTATAGGTGAAAAAAAAGTAAAAAGGAAAAAATGATACACTTTATATTTTCAAAAAATTTAATAATTATTATTCATTTTTATTAAAATTCGTACGCGATCAAATGACGGAAAGAGTAAAATAGCTTTATTAAGGAATGAGAAGAGAGAAAAATGAGGAGGAAGAGAGAAAACAAGAGAGAGGGAAAGACAAAAGCAAGAAGTTGAGAGAGCTTTCTTCTACAAAAACATTACTCAAGTTCTTCCATTTTAAAAAAACACTTTTAAGAAAAACCATTCATTCTAACACAAAACTCTTAAAACACAAATTAACAGATACTACATTCCAAACAATGTACAATTTGACTTTGACAAACTGAAGTATAACAACCAACCACTTCCCCTAACCCATTAAACACACAAAAAAAGAAAAGAAAAAAAAGAGGATAATCAACAACATCCAAACGAAACCTATGTATACATATAATAGATATTATGTGCCTGATTGATTATTAGACATCCCAACCATCCTTCCTTTTCCTGAATTCAGACTTCCTCTCACCCAAACTCCCGTACAGTCTTTCGAACTCCCTCAGGCACTTGCTTCTCACTCCATAGTGAGCCTTGGTGTTCCTGCTAATCGCCGCTCCTGACAATTTCGACGTGTCGATTGCCCACGCCGGCTTCACGTACTCCACCGCCGCCCTCGCGCCGCTCGAATTCGCGTACAGGTAGTTCATCAGAACGTCCTCGCAGTTAAAATTACCGTTTACGATTCCCCTACCCGCCGCAGCTTCTTCGCTCCAATACCTCCCGAAGGCCTCCCGGCTGTCGACGAACGCAGCCCCCGTAAGGATCATGTTGTACCCGTTGTGCCTCCGGGCGTGTTTCTCACCTCTGTATTCTAACGGGCTGCCATTGACGAGCCGGGGATAGAAGCCCACTATTCTATCGGGGCGTTCGCGCCATACTTTGAATCCCCGTTCAATGTCGTCGCAACTCATCATTATGTCGTCGTCGAGCTCGAGGACTGCCCGGGTTTTGATCATTGGGTCAACCTTGAACCGGTTGTTCAGCGAGTTTTGGCTTTCGACTCTTATTCTTATCGGCACTGCCGAGTCGAAGTCGGTCGATCGTGGAGGTATGCCCTTGTTCCAGACGACAACGATCTCACGCACGGACGAGCATCTCGAGTAATGTTTTACATACATTTTCAGATTCCAGAGACGGGCGTCGTACGTCATTGTTAATAGCGTGAACTGAGAGTAGCTACCGTGGACGGGGTAAGGTTCCTCCGCGCCGCTACCTCCGAAAATGTACTTAACGCCGACGCACGTAAGCATCAAAGCCAGAAACATCGTCAATAGGAGGATGGAAATTCCCGAGCACGTGTACGGTTTTATCCTAGCTCGGAGATTCGAGCTCACCTTGTTCAGCCGGCTGCAGAAAAGTCTCAGCTTCGAAGAGTATAAGTTCGGTTTCTCCCGCGTCAACAATGTGTCGCTTCTTTTCCCCATATTGTGCGGACACCAACTCAACGGGACGATGCACTTCACCACCCCGACGACCATTCCCACAAGAACGACAATCAGAGCAACCGCAACGACCGAAGCAAGCCCAAGAACGAATCTATAGTTTGCATCTCCCGAAGGGACTCGATCTCCATCCATAACTGCGATCCATTTTCCGGACCTGAGCTGCTGAGCATCGAGGTGATGGTGACGGGCGCCGTTCCAAGAATTGTGTCCTTTCGCGCCCGAGTCTTGGACACTGAAAGGAACCTCAACTTCCTTGAATTTATCAATTGTCAGAACTTCAACTTTGAATACGCGTATCCGACGCCCGTATGTCTCGCCGCAGTCTTGACCTATACGGTAAAGATCTCCATTGTACACAAAAGGCCTCCCTCCATTCCGAGCTCCCATACTCTTGCGCGTATTGTGGATGGGATTCTTTTTATGAGGTTTCCATGGACCTAGAGGCGAGCTGCTATGCCATATCTCCAATTGGCCGTTCTTTTTGGTCCCAATCCTGCTGTGATCCGAGCCGAAAAGCCAGAACTTCCCTTGGTAAGGAATCATGAAGGAATCGACAAGTGGTTTTTTCAGTATAACCCTGTCCAGCTTCCATTTCAACGGGAAGTCGATTGCACGATACAGACGAAGCTCGCCTTTTGCGCTACCCTCAGGCATCATATATATCTGCAAACAATCGAACAAGAAATATAAAGGGCGATGCTCAATCAAGATGATTAAAACTCAAATGACGTTTAATAACCGCAGATCTTACATTTCCTTTGTGTTCGAAGACAAAAGGATAGGATAGATGCCAATCTTCATCCAGGGCAATGCCCAACTGTTCCCATGTTGCTCCATTGTCCCTACTTCGAGCAACTCCGATATCTCCTTGCATTGTAATCGAATTTTTTGTTTCGTAAAACAGATACAGGACACCGCCCTGAATCATGAAATCAAACATCAGCCGCAGTAATTCTAATGTAAATTTTTTGCATAATTTAGCAAAGAAGATTATGTGGAGTTGTCCCCATAAAATACAGAAGAAATCATCATAAAATAGCAGGTAACAATGTGAAATTTATTCCATCCAAAGACAATCAGGTATAATTCGCCAGATTGCCGATATCAGTCTTATGACAGCGAGCAACGAGGCAAACCGAGTTCTGAGTCCTGGAGGCACTTCCAAGCTAATGTGTTAGATTAGTAAGCCAATTTGCAGTTTACTCTTAGATAAATTATCGACGAACTTCAACAAGAGGCAGTGCAAGACCCATTCCAACCCATTTTCCAGTCAACATATCATTTACGTCGTATATACGAGCAAATAAACCCCGCCCTATATGTATGTTCCTAAAGATATCAACTAAGAAACAAGTTGCTTTCAAGATGGCATAATTATCACATCCTTTTCCAAGTTTGAAACACCTATGCATGCCCTCCTTCAACAAGAGGCAGTGCAAGACTCATTCCAACCCATTTTCCAGTCAACATATCATTTACGTCGTATTTACGAGCAAATAAACCCCGCCCTATATGTATGTTCCTAAAGATATCAACTAAGAAACAAGTTGCTTTCAAGATGGCATAATTAACACATCCTTTTCCAAGTTTGAAACACCTATGCATGCCCTCCATCTTCCTGTTAAAAGCTTATTTGAAAAAACACAAGTCGACGAAACTTCACACCCCATGAACCAATTCTTGAGCATCTAACTAAAGTGATAATGCATAAAGTTTCTAGGTCAAAGAAAAGCAACAGCCAGAGTTTTTTTAATCATATGTTCTTAGCTGGCTTATATCTCTCCAAGAAAAAGAAAGAGCATCATCAAAACAAACTCCCCCAAATCCTTCCTTTAAACCACATGATATCATCATACTCGCAGTCGTCGACGACCTATAACATACATAAGAAACTACACCAGATTCATAACCTTCAAACTTTCTTAAATTCATTATACAGGACAAAATGTCCATCTCACTCCACATGCACCTTCCCCACTTACGAGAATAAATCACTCCTACCCACCTCCCCTAAAGGCAATTACATTTTTCACTTCTTAACTTCCACATTTTGCAAAGTGATGATCCATTTTCCCAAACACAGAAGTTGCATACCATCTACAAAATTCTTCCCACCTTTAAAACTTTAAGCAATTTCTTCACCTAAATCAACTCATCTAGAAAAAGCCATTGATTGACTCTCTTATTTAAAGATGTTGAAAAGGGGCAAAAGAAACAGGCATCACTGGTGCAGATAAATCAATTTACAACTCAACCCACTTGCACTGATCTCGAAATGTTCCCTGCTAGCTTTATCCCAGTGAGCCCAGAAAGATATATACATATATATATATATGTTACTATGTATGATATATCTACAGAGAGACATTATTTTAACATCTTCAAGAAAAATACAGAGATGTGTGGGGAAGGAATTGATAAAAGAATGCCATATTGTTTTCCCATCACCACTTGACTTTGTCTGTTGAATGTGACATTAGCTAACACCGTTCAGAATATCGTGATCAGTATGTATGCATTCATGGCGGTAGAAAACAAGAGCAAAACGCCCAAATTGAAAACAGCATACAATTTCAGGTGCTACAGAAGGGAATTAATATATTAAATTCGACGGTAGGCAAGTATTTTAATGGCGGAGCTATGGCGACGATTGATTTCGGCAGATTTGGCTGTGAAAAAGTTAAAATCCAGGATTATTCGAACAATACAAGATTGAGACTGAGTTTTGATTTTTACCTGCGCGTAGAGGAAGGGGTCGGCTACGAAGTTGCTGGGGAAGCCGGCGTCGGAGATCGAGGCGCAAGTGACCACCGGATTGGCTACCGGCCATGCTGAGGTCTCCTCCTTCCAGATATCCACCTGCCACAGAATTTTCAGAGTTTCGTCAATGGCGGCTGTCAATTTGGTGCGGCTAGAGTTTTGAATAACCCTAACCCCCTGAATTAATGCTTAGACCCAAAAATGGACAGAAGCTTTAATCATGGCGGCCTAAAGAAATAATGGAGACTGAAAATCCGGAGGAGGGAAAACCTAACTGCACGGGTTCAAAAAGGTTTTTAAAAGAAGACTAAAAATGGAGGAGAGAGAGAGAGAGAAAGGACTCAGTGACTCACAGCTTCGATTGGCTTGAGAGAGAAGGGAGAGTCGCCGTAGAAAACTCCGACGGACCACGACCCCTCATTGTCCGGCCGGCAGCCGAGCGCGGCCGGTGCGGCGATCCCGGCGCGCACGTTCCGCGTGAGCGTGAATCTGGCGTAGAAGCTGCCGGCAGTTCCCAACGCCAGAAACGCGCACAGGAAGAAGGCGAAAGTTGAGGACACGACGCACGCCGCCGCCGCGTCGTGGTTGTTGTTGTGGCTACTGCCGCCGCTCTTCCCCACGCCGCCGCCGCTGCTCTTCCCACCGCCATTGTTGTGCGACGAAGAAGCAACCGGATTCCAACCCATACGCCCCGAATTCAAACCACAATTAATCCAATCCAATCCAAATTCTCTCTAAATTTGCATGTAAACGAAGAATTAAATCAACAAATTAATGGCTGTGCTTCCCCCAAATCAGACTAATTAAATGATTAATTAAGAACAAGTTCGGACTCCTTCCTTTCCTTGCTTGCAGAGTTTTTGATTAATTATTAATCAGTAAGATTTCTCCTCTTCTGGCATATTGATGATGACAAAGACGACGATGATGCACTCTCTCTCTCTCTCTATGAAATTCTGTCCCTCTCTCTCTCTCTCTCTCTCTCTCTCTCTCTCTCCAAAAAGCTTTTTCAAAATTGGAATTCTTCGCCACCAAACCCAAACCCTGGAAAGCTGACAAAGATAACCGCGGTCGAAAACGTTCTTGGAACTTCCCTTCCAATAAATGTTGTGCTCATCTCTCTCTAGAATCATACTCATCCATATATATACAGACGGATATATACATACAGATATATGTATGTATACACGCACTCCCATGTATATGTGTAAGACTATAAGAACATTAATACTATTATTTAAATAATTTATTTACATATATCCATTTGAATTAAATACAATAATTGGTCTCATTTGCATCAATCATGTAGATTGTAATAATTTTACTTTTAAAATATTATCTCTAATTTTTTATTTTTTATTATTAATGAAAATATAAAAATAAAGATATAAATTAAACTTTAAAACACATGCAACAAAACTTTCATTTTATATGATTATATTAGTATCAAATTTAATTTACTTTCTTACAATTAAAATGATTATATATATTTATTTTTGTTAATCTTTTCACAGCAACTTTCTGAGTCCATCCAAAAATTTTCTACAGATTTTTTAATTAATATTACAAATATATATATATTCAAATAAATATATACTAAATAATTGCACAAATGCTCAGTTCTTCTAATACTTCCTCCGTCCCATAAGTTGTTTTTTTAAAACAGTTTTAAAAATATTAGTATTATATTGAGATATAGTAACTATAAAGTAGAATTGACTAAAATAACTTTATTATTATTACTACGTGTGATATAAAGGTAAATATTTACTAAAAATAATAATGTATTTTTTCAAATTAAAAATAATAAACAAAAACGTTTATAATATTTTTTTAGTGATTAAAAATAGTTCCTTTATTATTTTTTGAGAATTATATTTAAAATATAATTGTCTTTAATGAAGACAATAATTGCAATAGTGTGTTGCCATCTAATTAATATTTAGAATTACGATAAATAAACTAACCTAATTTTATTCTCTTCATTATGCTTTTATAGTTATGGTAATCTTTGGTTAATTCCAGTAGGTATATTATTATTATTATTATTATGGAAGAAAAATGATTTTTTTTTTCTTTATTTTACGTGAAAATATTTAAAGTTAAATTTGAAAATAGATGTTTTAATGGTAAGTGTCCAACCATTTGTCTTCCAAATAGAAATTTATTTATTTATTTAACTTTTGGCAAGCAATGAAAATGAACTCAACGGCCAAATTTATTGCTCCATCCGGCGTGCAAATGCGTGTTCATTTAACCGGATATGAGTTTTAATAAAAGTAAGTAATAATTTTTTTTTTCTTTTATAGTAAAAAAAAAACAGAAAAATATAATAATTTTTTACTTTAAAAAAAACGATAATATTTTCCAATTACAACCTAAAAATGAAAGTGAACATATATTTGAATGACAGACGAGTAATTAAATTGTATGTATCGATGGGAGGGTGTTATTTTAAATTTTAGTTTTAACTTTTTATTATATAAATATAGAAATAATTCTTTAAAAAAAATATTACATCAAAATGATTATTTTTTCCAATTTCACATATCATGTCGCATTCTCAATTTCTGCATGTCTAGTATATTATGTCATTTTTTGTTTTTTTTTAAAATACTATATTTTAATTATATTTTAAATTTTAATTACATTAATAAGTTATTTTAATTTTAGTGTATAATTATTTTTATTGTATTGTAATTATTTTTACTAATATATTTTAAATTATTTACTAATCATATATATATTTTTTTCTAAATTATTACGTCTACATTAAATTTTTTTTTGTGTGTGAAACATATTGAATGAAATACATACATAATATAAAAAATAATATTTATATTTAATTATTAAATTTTTTAAAAATAAATGGAGTAAATATTATATATATTATACAAATGAGTCTATAGATAAAAAAAAAAAAATTGTTAATTTCGTAAACACAAAATTTTCTACTTATTATATTCAATTTAAATAAAAGTCTATAGACAAAAAAAAAAAAAAAAATTTGTTAATTTCGTAAACACAAAATTTTATACTTATTATATTCAATTTAAATAAAAGCGTATCATATTCTTTAATGGTGTATTTATTTTAAATAATTAGGATATATAATATTATTTATACACCCTAATTACATATTTATTATTCTTTATTATGCCCGTTATAATAATACTATAATTAAATATTATTAATTATTCTTCATGAGTTGTATAAAATAATACTAATGTATAATTAAAGGTAAATTATATAACATCCCCTTGTATTTTTAGTAAAAATATAAAAAACACTATGTATTTTATTTATTGCGTAAAACTCTCTTGTGTTAATATAAAATTTGCATGAAATACCTTCATTATCCAAAACTGATATTTGGTTCTAAATAAAGATACGCAAGTTATATACAAATAAACAACGTAAAATATCTTAAATAATTTTTTTAATAAAATAAATAAATAAATTATATATTTATTTATTTTATTAAAAATAAGATATTTGTGGTTTTTATTTGTATAAAACTTGCATTATTTAGAACCAAATATCCGTTTTGGATAATGAGAGTATTTAGTGCAAAATTTACATTAACACAAGGGGGTTTCACGCAATAAATAAAACAAACGATGTTTTGTACATTTTTACTAAAATACAATTGAGTGTTATATAATTTACCTGTATAATTAATGTAAAAAGACTATTTTTTTTTTCCATTAATACTCAATTTACTATTAATTTTTTAATTTAATTAAGAGTATTTTAGACAAAATTAATAATCTTGTATAATAATTAATTCTAGTAAATATTGGATAAATTTATCATATGATTACATAATAAATTAGAATAATACATATATTATAATTATATCCTACAAAGTAAACTTACTTTCGTTGATTCATTTTTCAACTCGGATTTGGATAGTTTCTTCGAAGGACTTTGAGTACTTGATCTTCAATTCGAATTTCAACTTCTTCTTTTTTACGGATTTGATCTTTAATTTGACTTTACCAGACTTTTGAGGGTTTTGGTCTCGTGCGTGAGAATTTGATCATTAGTTTTGATTTTGGATACTTCTCTTGATGGATTTGAAACTTTGATCTTTACAAAGGTGAATTTGGTATAACACTTTTTGGCGGCATGTCCTTTTAACTTTTGGATCGAAGAGAGCCGGATTTGATAATTTGATGAAGAACGCGGCGAACATCTTGAAATTTTGTGTTAAAACTTTGAAGATTTTTCCTTGACTTTGACAAGTTTTCTAAGGGTGTGTTTGTTTGGGGGTTTGGATTTTGAGTTGGGATTTGAATAGTAAAAATTTTGAATTTAAATAGTTGTATGATGTGATATAAATAGGTGTTGACGTAATGTTTTGAATGTAAAATTGATTTTTAGTATAATATAAAAAATAAAATAAGTGTTTGATTTAATTTTTTTTTGGGGGAAAAAATATGATGAATAGTGGAAATTAAATCAAATCCCCCAAACAAACACACCCTTAATGGCTTTTGGAGTTTGAACTTTACTCCGCTTAGGCATATGCAACAAAAAACGTTAACTTCATGAATTCGTCAATTAATATTAAATTATTTATTCAAATCGATGACTTTTCGACGAAGAACGCTTCGAAAGACACGAAGAATATTTCAGGGAGAGTCTAAAGACTTATCTATTTGCTTGAATCCTCGATGTAACTTTGGTGTCTCAAATAAATTGGTCAAAACCCTTATTTATAGAAGAATTATAGCATCGGCTTCCTTTTCGAATGATGCCACATGGTGTATTTTGATCGGCCGACGGAAAGATTTTTTAATTTTTTTTTGTTGGACGGTCGTTTTCCATTCATAAAGGATTTAATTATGCGTTTTTCTTTCTCGTCAAAATTTTTATATCATTTTATTTCTCAAAAAATATTAATTATGATATTTTATTTATTGCAAAATTTATTATGTCTTTATGTACAAAATATTTGTACGAAATTTTCTATTTTAAGCAAATTTTGTTTTAATGATTAATATTTATTATTCAAAAAATAAAAAATGATTTGAAAATATATAAAGATAGCCCAACTATATTGAAGGTTTAGTTACATATGAATGACCAAAAACAATATATAATACACTTTTCTTTCCAAGTTGATATAAAAAAATTTCTCCACCATCACTCTAAAAGAATCTATTATTATTATTATATTGCATAAAAGTTAATAAATATTATATTAATATTAATTGATAATATTTTTAGCATATAAAAGACTAATTTGTTCTTAAAGGCTAAATAAATTTAATAGTATCTATTGAAATAATTAAATATATATTCAAAAGTATTTACAATGTATATATGAAGTGAAATTTATATTTATTTAAAAGTAAAATAAATATTTTGTATTTAGACAACTGAAAATGAAAAAATAAATATCTTTTCCGCAAATAGATATAGTAAATACTAATATATGTATGTATATATTTAATGTGTTAATTATAAACTTTTATTTAATAATAATTTTTTTATCCAATATATTTGCCAAATAAAAAATAAATATATTTTTGAGTCTATAGAGATAGTTGTTTGTTGTAACATAAAAATATATTGATGTGATATTATAAATTTTAATTATTTTTAATATAGTATAAATAATAATATATATATTATTTATATAATATTTTTTAATAGAAAAATTTGTCAAAATAAAAGTTTCACTTCAATTTTTTGATTTAATTATTATTTTTTTGTATTAAGTATAAGAAACTGCACAAATAATATAAAAAATAAATTAGTTTTGATCTGATATTTAAAGTAAATTAGTTTTGATTTGATATTTGATTTTTTTTTTTTTTTTTTTTTTTTTTTACTTATAGAAAGTTGTGTGGCATTATATATGTTGTGTGTATCTATTGTAATATTAATTAAAAATCGTGTAGAAAACTATTTTTTGGCAAACACATCAAAAAAATTAAATCCATGAGCTTTAAGGTATTTTTGGTTTGTGTTTTGCATTTTTATTTTATGTTTTGCTTTTGTATTTGTATTATGCATTTATGTTTGCATTTCCATTTCTACAGTAGTTTAATATAATATTTTATAAAAAAAATAATAATATTTTCATCATCGAAATTTATGTACATTT